AGAACCAACGTTTGTGCACATTGTAATACATCACGCAAATTTGCAGTCTGTCAGAAGCCATAACCGTACTATGTAGGCAACAAGCCTAATTTATAAATTGGACGTAGTTTAAATATGAAACAAACTTCACAGCACACTGGGGATAGGTTTTATGTTAAACACGTGAAGCTTGTCCTGTAACACAAACAAATACAACTTTAATAGGCCACAAAACTTACCTTTCCACGTCTGTAGATCCCTTTTCCTCCTGTCTGTAGTGGGAGACCTTTCTAACAGTAGTTTCTTCCTGGTCTGGTAGAAACTCATTGTTATGTCCCTGCTCAAAAGCATGATCATGTTCGAATATGTGTTCATGTGCCTTTATGTACTTGTGGTACCCCTCATGGGCGTATGTGTTTAAACGTCTGAGTGGTTCGTTTGGATGTCTGGGAGTGTAACGTTGGGAGTGACTACGATGGTGATGGGAGCGTTGTGCTTCTGGGAGGCTGTGTCGTGTATGACTATGCTGCTCTGAAGGGTTGTGGTGATTATGTTTTGAGTAACCTGAAACGCTGTGGTGACTATGCTTTGAGTGACCCGAAATGCTGTGGTGATCTGAAGGATTGTGGTGACTGTGTTTCGAATGACCTGAAATGCTGTGGTGATCTGAGTGCTCGTGGTGGTTGTGTTTTGAGCCGTGTCGTGACCCGCCATGATGGTGGTCTGTGTAGCTGTGGTGACCATGGCGTGAGTGATTTTGGCGAGGATCTATGTAAGAGTCGTGTTTTTTGTAGTAGTATTCGTCTCTGTGACAATCATTATACCTGCATTCGTCGTGGCGTGGTTCGCTGAGTTGTCTATGAAGCTTCTGTTGTACGTTGCGGCGGCTGTTGCGGTACAAGTGCTTTTGCATAATGTAACTTTTGTCATGGTGGCGCTGATCATAACTCGCTACGCTGAGTGGCGCCTGGGGAGGCTTGGTACACTGCCCGGAGCCGCGGGACCTAGAGCTGGAATCCCATATGTTACTTACACTTCGAGTTAAAATCTCCTCTTTGCTCATCGGAGGCGGCGTATACGACTTGGCTGATCTTGTAGATTCACTTCGAGCAAGCTTTATAAAAGGATTATTAATTAACTTTCGGAAGATGCTTGGACTGCTTTCTTCACTACCAGCGGGGAAGTTTGCCCTTAACGGTGCTTTCTTCGTACCCTTCTTCGAGTCTTCTTTGGATGAAAAAGAGGTCTCTTCTTGTTTCTCTGTTCCCTCGGAATCCGAAGGAGTGTATTCAGGCCGCCCTCTTGATGTGCTGCGCTTTCTGAGAGTTGGGGTTGTAGAAGGACTAGTCTGTTCCCCGCTTAGGTTGTTTAATACTTTGTTCAATTCTGTTTCGTAGCTGCTTGAGCGAAAAATCTCCTTCTTAACAACAGGTAAACATTCAGGGTCAGAGCTTCTCCTGGGAAACTCGGGGAACACCTGCTGCTGCTGTTGGTCCCTTAACGGTGAAACATTCTCATCTCTACTGATGCTGTCTTGTTCATCATTCACATAGGCCAGATTGTCATGCCCTCTATAACTGCTCTTAGGCATTTTCTGTTCATTTGCCATGTTCTTATTTTGATATTTAGATATTTCCTCTTCTTCCACATAAAAGAAAACACTTTTACCCTTGCCAGATCTATCGCTCTGTTGATCGTCCAGGGTACTGCCGTTTTCAACACCTGCCAAACCTTCGCTGTTTGCGCCATTTGTAATATTTACGACTGTCATGCCAGCATTGTCATAAGAGTCAGACTGCAAATGACAATTATTTGGAGAAGTATCCTTCGGAATGGTATTGTGTGCTTGTGTCTGGATCTTCATACTGACTATGGGATTATCTTTGAAGCCAACGTGCCCGACAGGGTCCCGTGAGGTATCTGGTGGCTCACTCACCATCAGCTTCACAAACGATTCTTGCCGATATTTACTTTCGTCGAGAGATCTTCCTTCCGTACAGCGCCACACTGCTGGGTGTTCCGAAATTTCAGGAAGATATTTCTCTACACCAAAAGAAGTTAAATATGCTTTCTTTCTCACTCTTTTAACCGGAAAAGTAGAGGAAGTGTCCTTCTCTACATCTGAGTTATCTTGGATGCTGTCTGCGATATTTGTTTCCCTTCCCTGAGTTTGCGGCGCGGAGGGCGTCGTGGGTTGATATAGGGGCAGCAGCGCCGTAATGGGTTCTACCTGGGATTTACCTCCAGTGGCTGACACTTCCTGGTGCGGTGACGAGGATGATGAACCTCCTGGCGTCTGTCTCACGACGGCTATTGAACTGTCAGGGGAAGGGCAGTGATCTGAACTATACGCAGTTAAATACAGACTAGTTGGCTTTGGTAAGAGAGTAGCATCAAGGGAGGAAGCGTCACACATTTGTTTATGGTAGGCAGAGAGCACACCATCACTATTACTGCGGTGTAACGATAACTGCAGCTCATCAATTTCAACTACTGCACATTTATCAGGCGAGCCGGGTGCACATGAGTTCAAATCCTCGGCAAGCCTAGATGTGCCTAGTGTCTGCAGTGGTGATGGAAACTGCGTGTCGGACCTGCGTTCCTTGGAAGATGTTCTGTCGTGTGGCTCTAACTCTGGAGGAACGAGACCGAGACACTCGGAACGAGGCTCCGCCGATACTGACACCAACACTGCTTTCCTGGTCAAGAGAAACTCCGTTGGTGGGGGGTTACTAATCACGGTGAGTGTTGGGAAATCTTGAAAGCTTACGTCACTGGCGAGACAAAGGTTGGATACCTCGCTCGCTCCCTCTGGCGCCGCATGAAGGGACTTCCTTAACATATTTCCCTGCTTTTCCTCGCCAGTCTTTACTTTCTGTTGTGATACTATCTCCCGTGTCTTGGAGAGCACTGATAAGTCATCACCAGTGGTAACGTGCTCAGTGTCTTCGCTAATCATGTCATTATATTTACAAATGTCCTTGTTCTCCACGGTGTCCTGTCTTGCCATCCAAAAATCCCCTGTGGGAGTTGGGCAGGTGTGGGGAGACAAAGGTGTAGGTGGGGGTGTCGTGGGTGAAGTTGTGTTGTGTGTGGTTGTGTGTGTGTCGTGTGTGCGTGTAGGTGAATTGTATGCGGGTATTGCTGGGTTATGTGAGAGAGTCGCGGGTGATGTGTGAGAATTGGCAGCAGAGGTTTCCTGGAAAGGGTAGTGAAGAATGTTCTTGCCAGATGCTAGCTGCTCGTCCGCCATCCTCGCTCCTATCACTCACCTGAAACACAAGATGATCACTCTCAGTACATGTGTACACACTTACATCTTCGTAAGGAAACATGTCAAACACAAAAGTATAATAAACACTTGCCAGTAACAAACGAACACAAATGGAGACAATAAAACAGATCTGATAAAGACCGAATATTTTAACGGTGTGGTGCCCCGTGGCCTGGTGGCAAAAGCTTTCGCTTCACACGGTGAGGGTCCGGGTTCAATTCCAGGCGAAGAAGTGGAAACATCGGACGTGTTTCCTTACACCGGTTGTCTATGTTCACCCGTCAGGAAAATGGGTACCTGGGTGTTAGTGGACTGGTGTGGGTCGCATCCTGGGGACAAAACTGACCTAATTTGTCCGAAATGCTCTGTATAACAAGCGGCTTTCTATATAGTAGTATGTCATTGATGTCAGCTAGGACTGTATACATTGTACATGTACTTGTAGAAATAAAGATATTATTAAAGAGGGTTTTAGTGAGAGACCGATCAACCCAATATTCCCACATCAATCATGTCTGCTGAATGCACTACAGTTTGTCTTCTCAAACTTCGATCAGCAACAACGTAACACAGTACACAACGAACCTTAAAAAATCCACAAACGGATCTCAGTTAATTATTTTTAAAGTTGTTGGCAGCAGTAATTGTGGTAGTTGTTGCTGCTGGTGGTAGTAGTAGTAGTAGTAGTAGTAGTAGTAGTAGTAGTAGTAGTAGTAGTAGTAGTAGTAGTAGTAGTAGTTGTTGTTTTACTTACATCAAGAAATATTTCTTTTACAGCCTGTTACCTACAAATCAAACTAATAAATATCAGGTCAACTAGGCTGTGATGAATATGTGGGCCAGCCGGTCTGCATATCCATCAAATATGCAACAAAATATAAGCATTTACGGTATATACAGTACAAATCAAATCTCGGATGGGACCATTATGAACTGAGACTGCAGTGTAAATTCAATCCCGAAACCCCCCCCCCAAAAAAAATTATTAATGTGCCTTAAACTTATGTTGTCAAATTTCTAATTAAAAATAATGAAAGAAAACATTTTTGTAACTGTAACTGATACTTTATACAAGCGTTTAGCAACAAACACAGGCATTTACATAAATGATTAACATTTTCGGGGTAAGTAACGATCCTTGTTCAGTCCTGTGACGTACTTGTGACAAGTTTTAAGGACTCCTACTCTAAAAGCCTAACCTGAGGCCACACTTCATTACAGACTGCCTGATCAAGCAGGCTGTTGCTGCCAGCGGGCCCGCAGAATACACCAGGCCGAGCTGACACTTGCTACACCAACACTGGTGACATTCTTATCAGAGTTTGCTTTCCTCTCGTTGCTGTTTGCATCTTTATTCTCAATTTAAAAATGTCTCAGTATTACATATAATATTGGGGAAGCGCTAAATCCTTAAGTTTCTCACAGCCCTTTAGAAATAGAAGATTAGATCCTTTTAAAGAAAGATTAGAACTTAGTCAAACTGAATGCGAAAAAGATTTTGGAGTTCACGTAAGCAGGAAATTAAAGCCAAGGCAACACAGAAATGTTCATAATAAAGTTAATAAGATTCTGGCTTCATATCAAGTAATATCAATAATACAAGTCCTAGGCTATACTTTATGTATGGTTGGTAAAGCCTCGCTTACATTATACTGCTCAGTTCTGGTCTCCATATTACAGGATGGATATAACTAAACTGGAAAATATAGAGACGGATGACCAAGTTCGTCTCAAGTACCATAAATCTTTCCTACGAAGATAAGATGAATTTGCACACTCCGGAAGGATGCAGAATTAGGGGAGACTTGACTGATATATAGAAATGGAAACCTGAATAAATAAAGAAGATGTAAATAATATGCTGAAAATATCGAGTTAAGACAGGACACCCAACAATGAGCTGAAGCTGGACACATTTAGATTTAGAAAGGATATAGTGAAATACTGGTTTGGTAATAGAGTTGTAGATGAGTGGAACAAACTCCCAGGTAGTCACTGAGGCAAGAACTGTAGATAGCTTTAAAAATAGGTACGGGTACACAAGTGGGCGTGAATTGGTTATGCCTAACAAGGACCATTATCTTCCCTGCAGTCTTCTTTCATTCTTATGTTCTTAATTCCTCAGATCAAAAGCCTTTCACCAGTACCAAGGTTTAAAGCAGGAGAGATAAATTAGCAGTGTCCAATCTTCATATTTTAATCAATTCTAGCTGTAGCATACACTAGCACTTCCTCTCAGAGACTAGTGCTGCTATCAACCCTTTTATTTGTGTGTGAGGAGGAGAGCGTTGTCATGGGCAGGGAGAGTAACTGTGAGTGCATGAGAAGTGAGCGTGAACAGGTGTGGGGCGAGGATGTGTGCATGCGAGCAAGTGTGTGTGCATGTGTGCAAGTATGTGTGCATGTGAGCAAGTGTATGTACTTACCTCTGTGTGGGTACAGGGGTCGATTCAAAGTTCCTGTGAGCACGTGTGTGTGTGTGTGTGTGTGTCTGTGTGTGACAGACAGACAGACAGACAGAGCAAGTGTGTGGCTGCGAGTGGTGGAGTAACAGATTCCTCCTGTCTCATACATCCTACTCTCCTCTCAACTAGTGGTACCACTCACTGCAGATCCCACACACTGCTCACCAGATTTTGCATATATATATATATATATATATATATATATATATATATATATATATATATATATATATATATATATATATATATATATATATATATGTGTGTGTGTGTGTGTGGTGTGTGTGTGTGTGGTGTGTGTGTGTGTGTGTGTGTGTGTGTGTGTGTGTGTGTGTGTGTGTGTGTGTGTGTGTTGTTAGTCTCATTACTGGCAACAAATGACGTTAATTATATACTATGTACAGTTTATGTGTTGTGTAGTAAAGCACGATGTATCAACAACTCTGGATAAAACCATTCAACTTGCTACCCAGCAGATATCGGAAATGTGGCCTTCATTTACAAGAAGAAAATGGGTCATTACTTTCTTCAAATGTATGAAGGATTTGTTATGGCTAGTAAGTAAGTAAATAAGTTTATTCAGGTATACACAAATACAGTTACATAGATTATAATACATAGCAGCATATGTGTAAAGTACCTAGGAGTGACGTATTTCCACTGGCGTCGTTTTACCTTATTATTATAATATAAAGGAGATAATATCTTATTATTATAATATAAAGGAGATAATATCTTATTATTATAATATAAAGGAGATAATATCTTATTATTATAATATAAAGGAGATAATATCTTATTATAATATAAAGGAGATAATATCTTATTATTATAATATAAAGGAGATAATATCTTATTATAATATAAAGGAGATAATATCTTATTATTATAATATAAAGGAGATAATATCTTATTATTATAATATAAAGGAGATAATATCTTATTATTATAATATAAAGGAGATAATATCTTATTATTATAATATAAAGGAGATAATATCTTATTATTATAATATAAAGGAGATAATATCTTATTATTATAATATAAAGGAGATAATATCTTATTATTATTCTATAAAGGAGATAATATCTTATTATACTATTAAGACTATCTACTACACGAGTCATTACTAGGAATAAGGTAAAATTACACGTGTGTTAGCTAAAAAGTAAAAAAATCATTCCCTCTCCTTTCTGTAGCTACATTCATCAGGTACCTTGTGGCTCTCTCTTGAACTGGTTCATGCTATGACTGGCTTTGACATGTGCGGGAAGTCTGTTCCATTCCTTTAGTGCTATGTGGGCCTGCGGGGCGCTAGTACCAACAGCCTGGTTGATGAACAAGATACATGTGCAACAGTGTGGTGTCTTTGTCGAATAATTTGGCCTGCTCAGCAGGCTTCTTCAATCAGATATTTGAGACAGCAGAAGCAGTGTTGAGGTAGTATTGAAGTGATTAGTCCTCCACTACTTCCTCTGTATAAAAGTAAAGCCTGCTAAGCAGGCGAAACGTTTCGGCGATAAAGCTAACCAACGGTTGCACATGTATCGTCCTCATTTACTTGTAGGTGATGTATGCCATTAAAATGATTCGGCCTGGTTGATCAAGCAGTCACCAAGAAAGTCAGGCCTCACGCTAGGCTACGACGGCAGAGAACCCGCGTAACCTGCCATGGGTATGTTATGTACATGTTACTAATCTCTGAATAGTAAGCTGATGAATCAGTCACTAAATTCTGGAAATTCAGCTGATGAGCTAGTCGCCAAACTGGAAATTAACCTGATGAGTCCGTCATTAATCACTGGAAATGAATAAAAACTTGTTGGTCCACACTAGATACATATTCATCAAAGACAACTGGAAATGTGTCCCAATCATTGGTATTCATATCAGAGTTTAGAACCCGGAGGTGTAAACATATTCTATATCTTGGTTTCAACACTTCCTTTGCCACCTGAGTCTTCTGTTGTATCAGATTATCGTCAGACTAATTCCCATGACTACCCACTATCAATATTGGTAATACCATCCTCCATGGCGGGAAATTCAGGCGGAAACACTCTCATGCTTACCTTGAACCAGCGTCATTACTTTGTTGTTCACGTTAAGGATCAGTACAATTATTATAAATAGTATTCCTCTGTCGAGACCTTGAACGATGACGCTATACGTAACAAGAAAGGCAGACATCTACAGAAGCAAACCGGGACTGAGACTCATATTAGGAAAGTTGTGTTATGAGGGCTGGTTCTACAAGATAGTGCCTCTGAAGGCCAGAAATAGAACTTTCCCAACCTGGCTTTGTTTCTGCAGATGCCTAGCTTGCGAGTGATATTCAGAAATATATTGAACCACCTGACATTCATTCAAGACTCTCCTGTACAAACTACTATAATAATCATATCTACTACAATGATTCAAAATTTAGAGTATCGACACTTCAGGCCTAGACTGAAGAAATAATCGAAGCCCTGAAATGCTGAAATTCTTTCAGACATCTTGCTGTTGCCGGAGAGCGTATGATGGCAACGAG